AAGCGTCACACGATTCTGAAAGGAAGTAGAGTGCTAGAATGCATGGCGTATCCCAAAACGGATTGATGAGTGACGAATGCTATCCTTTCTTACCTTATGATATGGCTATTTCTCGAACTTACCATTAGTGGCTGCAAAGGAGTGATTTAGTTTCGTTCCGCACGTATTCTGCCTTGGCTGTTCACAAAGACAGCCGGACGCACGGCGTAGTTCGAAAGATTCTCATATGACGGCTACTGTATTCTTTCATCAACCGCAGTTGTACTAGGAATGGTCCCGAATCTTCCTCATACTCAAGCAATATCATAAGCTCTGAGTCGAGACGGCCGTAGGCTATTTGATGAGGGGCGCTGTCTTCATTCTCAGTAAATGAAGCGCAGCTGAAGAATCGCATAATCGCTATGCTTATGAAAATGCAATAAAGCAGTTTTCAAGATGGTGATTGCAAACAATGCACTACGTAATGAAGCCAAACTCCGTACCTCACTTTCCGCCGAAAATGTGTTTTTAGCGCTCTAAAAAACGGTTGTCCAATTCAGGTTATCAATCTGTTCGTGGCTGTCATCATGGACAACTTTGACTACCTGACTCGTGATTGGTCCATCCTTGGCCCGCATCATCTCGAGGAATTCGTGCGATTATGGTCCGAATACGATCCCGACGCGAAAGGTAAGTGGCATTCTGGCTAGCAAAAATAAAATAGCTAAACGTGGTACGATTTAACTAGCAGTTCTCTTTTCACCTCACTATTATTGAACAAATTTTGGAGGGAAGATCAGAAAATCGCTCCTCGCTAAGCGAAGGCCCTTAGACCGCAAAACAAGTCAAAAAATCTTTTCTATGTATTCGTGAGAGAAAAAAGAAAAACGATCGGTGATGTAATTTCATTGACACTAAACAGTTTTATATGTGGGAATACCGCGTGGTAGTCAAATGATGTATACTAATCACAGAATGAACCAACTAACCGAGAACATAACTCTGCAGGCTCATTGCCAATGTTGTTCTGCAGGCTATTGCTTTATTTTACGCATATAACTTTATAGCCCTTGTATTGGGTTGACCCATAATTTCTGGCCGATTTTGTTTCAAATTCAATTTTCTTCATGTCAAATTAGCTTCATGATGAATAAGTTAATATGTTGAAGAACACATCAGGACCTTCAGCCAGGATGATTCAGAAGCTAAAGTGAGCAATAGGGATATTTAGAGTTGGAATCCAGATAACAGGTCAGACAAAACAATACCCAGAACGATTTGCCGTATTGGCGGAAGAATATGTAATAAAGAAGGACTTGCAAAAGCGCAGGTCGGCAAGATCAGCGCTACGTTTGCCCCAGTCTTTGCTACTGATCGGGCACCGAGCTATTGGCTCAATAGCATACGCAAAGGCGATAGGAGCTGCAAAGTTCGACCTCATCACGGACCCCCAAATCACTTTCGATGAGGACCGCTTGCGCTACGAATAGGAAGTGTAGGACGCTATTAGCAGGAAAACTGTAGCAAACATCTGGGCGCAGCCTACGCTCCATGAGTCGACACCTGAATGGAATGGACTGTAGCAGAATGAAGCCTCGATGGAAACAGCATGCATGGACTGACCATGACCGAGAAGCACGCCTGACCATCTGCAGAAGTTTCATTCTGCGACCGTATAGACAAGACATTCCCTGGTTGGTCACCAGTGCAGATAAGTCTGAGTCCCCCTTGGTCGCATACGTGCTACCCGGTTGGCTAGGTCGCAGCCTGGACGCAGCATCAACCCGAGCTGTTTCATCAGAGGGTGTGACCCCCGTTTTGTTGGATTCGCTGGGTATCCCGTTTTGAGAACCATTTCACTTTATGCAGACAAGCATGCGAAGGTAACCATGGAATAGCTTCCAAAGTTGGCCGCAGCAGTGAGGGAGGACGGTTGGAAAAGTCTCAAAATCCCCTTTATCCGGAGAACCGCGCGAAATCACATTGCAAAGATAACTCGCCACGTTTCGAGGGAAACTGGCTGGACCACGACACCACATCATCGTATAGCTTTACGTCTTGCTTCATGCACATATCACTTCATTCATGCCCTGAGCGGCACTAAGGAGAGGAAATTCGTAAATAAAACGCCAAACAACGACCATTCGGGCTTTTCGTTACAGCTTTCATCGTTCTGGGTAGCCATGCATACCATAATGTCTAGAAGTGGTGTATGATGATTATGATTGTGACTTAATGATATATGATGGTATTGTGGTTTTTTTGATCATGTTCTTTTAAGAAAGAAAAAACTTGAAAAAAATCAAAAATGTCGCAATCGTCGAATTATGGGTAACGCAAAATATTTCGGATTTATTTGAATTGGCCAAGAGCGACTGAGGGAATTTTCTCATTTTGCTCTCTCCACAAATGTCCACCGAATTAATTATTCGATACTTTTAGGAATTGCCCATATTTTTGAACGTCATCTTATTATTTTGAATGCTCAGGAATGTTTTTGTACACCCACCCTTTCTTCTTTTACGCATACAAGAGATACGCCAGAAAATTTCAAGTTATGAGATTGTTATTCATGGGTGCTTATTGCCACTAGGAGCGCTGACATAGTATGTGAAGAGGGGTCGTTTATCCAGCAGGAATGTCCTTTTCGTCACATTCATTGACAATGCGTCAGTATTGCTTCAAGCAAGTTAGTCTAGAACTTGGAATTTTTTCTTATGGAATTTTCAGGAACGAAATCAAACATCTCGATGTGGTCACGTTGCTTCGAAAAATTTCACCTCCACTCGGGTTCGGAAAACTCTGTCCACATCGTCTCGCCTGCAAGGTCGGATTTTCTTTTACACATATGGTCACTTACAAAACTGAGGGCAACGTAATTGAGTAATTTGTGTTCGGCCTTGTGAGCGACTGCGCTGCATTATTAATTCAACAAATCTATCATGAGAGAAAATTGTGCTAAGCATCCTGTTTCTGAATTGTCTTCTTTTATTGTGGATATTTATTTGCCAATGGCTGATGGGCAAGACTCTTTGCCAGCGAGAGTCGTTCCGGTTCGTGTATATGGGTTACTTTGTTAGTATGTACGTCACTGTTTGTTAGTTCCTCAGTCAGATAAGGTCACCTCATCAGACAGCTCTTATCCGTTTGTGACAGGCTTAAGCCCAAGCCTATGCCGAACCCTTGGTTTGAGCATAAGCCAATGTGTAAGCTCAAGCCTAAGACTAAGGCTAAGATGTCTATAAATTTATTCAGTATCCAGACGCTTCTTCTGGCATCTTGCCTCGAAAACTCAACTTTTTGGTCTCCCTCCAGTATGCTTTTCACAGATGACGACGCCTGACTGTGTAGCTTCGCTCAGCTTTCTTTGGTCTTCTCTATCCCTTTCAGCGGCCAGTGCTCTTCGGATATGTCATTCACTGTTTTACTAACTTAGGTCCAGTGTAGACATTATCTTCTTAACTTCGAGAGCATATTTGTGTACGTAAGGACAGTTGCGCAGTAAAATCTTCTGTTCTGAGGTGCGCCATGCACTCGTTTGTGGTTAGTAGTTGGAGAAGCACTCGGAAAGTTATGCCTCTCACCTACGTATTGCGACGTTGACCTTTGCGAATACGACCCCCCCTTTTCGGTCGGCCGAATACGACCCCCTCGTTGGACTTTGTTCCAACGGACGGTTGACCTCGCATAGGAATAGCGAAGGATTCCTAGAGATTCTTCTCCTTCCCTTTATAACAGCGATTGACCCAGCCCCTACCCAAGAGGAATTTTGAGGAAATTTGACTTCGGATTCGATTCTCTTCTGAATATTTCTTTGCTAAGTATGTGTTGCCATCACCAATTGCCAGAAAGCTGGAAGTGATAGAAGGGCACGGCAATTTTCGATATGTTTGATAGCTCGTCCACAAGCCCTATAAGCTTTTCCCTTCATCTCTCTTCGCGGCCTTACTCGATTAATTCCCCTCGAAATAAGTTGTTCTTTCTTCGATCAGTGGCCATCAGGATCAATTTCATAAGGGCAGCTCATGGCTGCTAAGGTCGTTACGATTTGCAAAGAACGACGTGTCTTCAGCCTCAACCTCTGGATTAACATTCTGCGGAACAAGTGAACAAGTGTCTTTTTCTAAGACATCTATCACAATTGCAGTCAATTAAATGCTTAGCTTGTTTCTCAGAAACCGCCTCTTCTCAAAAAGTGAAGCCTACCTCTTCACTTTTTTTGAGAACGAGCGGTTTCATTAAATTTTTTCATTGCATATTGAATGGCTGTTTAATAGCCTGCAATAAAGGTCACAAAGTACGATGAATGTGGGAAGGTTAGGAGGAAACAAGAAAGGGCATCGAGATAAATGTTTGATGAGAATGGCAATTGCAAAACTAAAAATAGATCTCCAGGGAGGAGAGCAATTACAGACTATTAGCATGTTTAGTTGGCTCGCCACAGTAATGACTTCTGATGAGGCACAAGAAGTCGTTACTGTAGCCAGTTGTAAACGGCTTATCGAATTCAGAAATCGAATTGATCAATCCTTCATTCAGTGCGCCACGCATTCGACTTTTGTTCGGAATCGTGGGCAGTAGGTCACACTTATGATATGCAAAGACGGGGGAAGGTTAATTGTAAGAACAAACAAGGGTCAATGCTCTCTTCCTTGTAAAGAGCTCTAATAGCAGATAAGCACGACACTCAAAGGATCTCAGGCTTGAGCAGGTTCAGATACAATGAAGGGCGAGGGTACCCCAGGAGGCCCGTCGCGCGGCAAGAAGGCAGAGTCGGCGGACGAGTTGCAGCGCGTGGTGTGCGATGTAGGACGTGCAATGGGACACTCTATTTAACTTGACGCGAAATCCCTATAGTACGCGCGCGACTCGTCCGCTGCCTTCTTGCCGCGCGACGGGCCTCCTGGGGGGTACCCGTTTCCTCATGTCAGAGTCTACCGTTTGCTGGAAATTTCCCAGCGAGCGTAGTCGTAATTTGTGATCCTAGGCAGGGGCGCTTATTATTTGAGGGGCATGAAAGAAATGCATTATTGCAAACTCAAAAATTCCTCCGGATTTATTCCAAAATTCAGAAATCGCACCTTTTCAACTTGTTAGAATTAATTCGAAGCGAATCAGACTCAACGACGCCCTGAGACCATCGACCGCTGGAGAGGATCGTGCTAGGGGGTTTTTCAGAGGAAGGGGCGGGGGATCGATCGTCCAATTACGAAAATTTCCCAAAACTGGTGACCCTAGCTGCTACGTTCTACGCACGCTCAAAATATCAGTGATTCTCAATAAGCAGGCCTATTTATAGGAAAGGCTTTTCCATTGCTTAGGATTCAGGCTTAGGACTATTCGCTTCTGGAATGATGCCAACAGTTTCAAAGCCGGCTCAGAGATCAGTAGTCGGCTGAGGGGTTGCTCTGCTTTGTTTCAAAGTATTGCTCTTTTGTGAGCCAATAAATTCACTGATGTTACGTGGCTACTAGAACCTTCCTCTATGTTCTATGCCGAAAAGGCTGGAGCGCAGGCGGTCAGTGAACGGCGCCTACAGCTGCTTCTAATAAGGTGCCAACCATGAGATGCATGAGCCAGAAGAGTGAAGGTCATCCAGGGGTGGGAGTTCGAGGTAAATGTAGTCGTGAATCGCTACGTAGGCGAGAGGGTGCAGACAACAAAAAATCTGATGTTTCCTAGAGGAACAAGTCCAAGTAGCCCTTAGGTTATACGAGGCAGGCAATTGAGGCGCTCTGCAGAAAACAATGACTGAGTACATCTCAGCTATTATTGAATTATTTATTTCAGCGCCTCGTATCAATGAATATGCCGCTGAACTCGGACGGTACCGTATGCTTCAACGCTACTCTTTTCGCTCTAGTTCGGACCAACCTCAAGAATTTACACCGGTGCGTTTTGATCGATACTTTTATAAATCTTATGCCCTACTGAAAAAAATGAGGGAAGCCCCGAGAA